GTTCATTTTTAATTTAGCGCGCACACACATCCTCCGAAAAGGAAACGCACTCCGAGGAGAACAATCTATTAAATCCGCAAAGGACGAGCGGGCAGCGGCACTGCCAAGGATTCGAAGCGGTCTCATGTTCTTCTTGTTCTGCTTCCGAAAAGTTGTTGATATCTATTACCGAAGATTCGAAGCAGTTCGCCGGCATCTCAACTCAACTTAACTCGGATTCGGGGGAGGATGTGCATGTGGGACTTAAAGACAGTTGCCGCTTGAATGGCACCGACTGCCAACTGGGCAACTGATGCTGGGACGGAGCAAGGACTACGATGGAGGACTGGATGGAGGGACACACCCCGGCACATCCACATGTCTGACATGACAGTTGGTTATGCCGGGGCCACAAGGCACGTAGCGCAGTGCAGTTAAGATTTGGATTTCCTTCGCTGGGCGTATCAAAGGAAACAAGGCAAAAAATCTAGAAAATACTACAAAACACTTATCTGGGTGACAAATAGAAAGGGAGCAGGGGGCTGCGACAACATTGAAAGAAAAATGTCTCTGAGTAGATTAAAAAAAATATGAGAAAGGGGATCCAGCGAAGCGAACGCCTGCAGAATGGAGCTATACAAAGCTGGGAATGGCTCTCCCTCTCGTTATAACGATGGCACGGCGGGACACAAGTCCACAGTGTGGCAGGATATAGCAGATATAGTAGAACCACAATTGTAAATATATTATATTATTATATTAAGAAGTAGGTACGCGGATCCTGCGTTTAGTAATATAAACAATAAGGTACACTCGAGTTTCGAGAGTTTTTAAGCCAGCCTTTGTGTAAGACAAACTATTAACAAAGCCGGATTTTCCCGACAGGAACCCCTGTATCCGCGACATGGTCATGACTGCCCATGTGTGCTGGCTGTTGTCTTAGAATCTGGCGCCTAGACGACCTGCAGGCGCTGCTCCACCGTTTTTGCGCCAGTCTGCTGTTGCCATTTTGTGTTCAGTATTTATTTTTTCCATCAGCGTGCTGTTGTTGTTAATATTTGCAAGGCGACTTTATCTTAACAAGATCGAGGAGAGGACCGAGCACCGAGGACCAAGGACCCAGGACCCAGGACCAAGGATGTGAGTGCGTGGTGTGCGTTGCGTCTGCCATTCCCTGTGTCATTTAAAATCATTTTGCAAGTTTTGAGCTAACTTTGAGTTTGTGTTTCTGTCCTGTTCCACTTGGCCCAGACTTTCCCCACACGGACTTTCCTTTGATTCGTTGGAAGGGAAGGGGCTACAAAGCCAGGGGCTCAGAAAGTGTTTAGTCCATCAAGTGAGCAGACAAATAGCTGCGTTTGATCCGATTCGATTGCTGCTAATTCGTTTATGTCTCCGGCCTGCCGAAGTGTGTGCTACCCATCACAAAAAAGGATCTTACTCCAGATCTTATTCAGCTAGGGTTAACTGGCTGCTCTGCTCATTACTCACCTCGTTTTATGCTCTTCCAGAGCATTTTTCATTTGGCAAATTTCGGTTAAATTAACTTTGCCCTGTCGAGTTTTGACCAACATAATATTCCGACCCACTCATAAACCACTTTCAGCTTTCGCAGACAGTACAGACAGCACACTCCACTAAATCATAAAAGGAGATGAAAATATGATGTGTCCCGGTCCATAAACCATTTGAGAAGAATCAACAAAAAGCACGCCAACCTTCCGTTCCGAGGACATTCATATTTTCCCACCGGTTCGGGGGTCCATAAAACTGCTGGCGGGAGTGCGACCATTCCTGGTTAGGCCCCCACATGTGGGCCATAAAAGAGTAACAACAAATACCGAAATTGTTATTAAATAACAACATAACAATATCTAATTCCAGCGGGCGAGGCGGGAGTGGGCCGAGTAATATTTAATAAATTTCGTTAGATAGGTTAAAGGTATAATACGGGGAGTGGATCTGGGGAGCGGGGACCTGGGGGACCTGAGAGGTCGTAACCATTGCATATTCTTCCCATGGGGTGCCCATCGTGGCCCATTGTTGCCATGGCTGCCAGTCGGAGCCTCCGCCAGACGGCCTATTAACCACATTTTAAGCATAATTGAATTTCGTGCATAAATTTCGGTTTATGGGTCGTCGCAGGGAGACCACAACCCGCCCAGATTATTACATTATTTACTGGGTGTGTGCGCACGAAAGAGACGGCCAGATGCCGTGCAAGAGAGAGGGCAGACCAGGTGGCGCCACCAGACGACAGGGGCATCAATTTTTCATGATTCCACGTTTCTGTTGTTTCATGCTTTTTGCCGCTTTTTGAAATGGTTCACTGCCCCCTGCTGCTGGAAGCCCCAAAAAATATTTATTAAATTTCTTTTTACGATATAAACACAAACACGAGCGAGTACTGGGATCAGCCAAGCAATTGGTTGCAGTCTCGCCTCTAATATGTTTTGGGGTCAGCAAAGGGGCGGGGAATGGTATAGGGTTCCTAGATTAGTGAGTTAGAACCAAAATTGATTGCCCAATTGGTTGAAAGAATAATGGGATCCGCAAATAGGAGTCAAATGAGTGAGCATGGGTTTCTTTGATATTTCTTGTCCTCGAATCAGAATATTAGGGCACGTATTTGCCAACAACAAAATGGTAAAGGTCTTCGAGTTTTAGCTCAAAATCATGACTATCTAATCGGAGCATCAAATCAATTCCGATAAGCCCTGGGAAATGACCAGTCTAAATCCAACCATTCTTATCACAACACGCTTAATCATCAAACAGCGATACAGCTATCTTTACGATTCAACACGGGTGTGTCTCAATCGAAAAGATATTATAGTTTTAATTGCCTTGAAGTTCCAAGGAATCACACTCTTGTTCCCGCAGATTTCCAATTGAGATCAACTGGTGCAACTTCTGTGGCGGAACAAACAAATCTTTGGCCCCCAAGCTGGCGAAACCAAAGTTTCCAAACAAACAATTGCCGCTCCATTTAACCGACTTTCCCCACTGACACACATATGCTGCAGTCATATGTTAACCCTCAAAGCGCTGCCAAAAAAAGGAAGGGAAGAGAACTGTGAAATGGGGTAAAAAATACAAGTATGTTCGGCGAAAGTTCATTGCCGCTTTTTAGGCGCCAACAGCAGCTTACTGCGAAAAATACCGCAGAACAAGAAAAAATGCCAGCCCAGAACACAGGCTACACATCAACTTTTTATTAGCTCCAAAATAAACACGTGGGGTGGTGGGCTGTGGGTGGGATGTGGGTGGGCTTTTGGTTGGAGGAGCCGAGAGCAAGACGCAAACAGCAAACAAACAGCCGACAACACAAAACGCAAACAGTGGCGGCAAGAGTTGAGTAACAAATATTTACAGCGCGGTACAGGCTGGCCCAAACGCCACCCACCACCCACCAACCATTGAAGCCCGGCTATTTGCCTTTTTTGTTGGTTAAGACAGTGCCAAGGAGCCACAGTCAATGTCGAGGTCCTCGCCGCGGTCCTTCGCGACTTAATAAATCTTATTAAAGTGCGCAGTTCGCACAGCCTCTAAAATATGCTACGTTTTTATTTTCCGCGCTCGTCCTTTTGGCCAGCGCCACTCGGTGGCATTTGGGCCAACATTTAAGAGGCCTACTGAACGGAAACTGTGAAAGGGGGTCTGTCTACCTTGCGCTTGCTTTACATAAATTTATCTCCCACTCCGCCGCGCGGAATTTCGCCACCGAAGTTGGGCACCCGGCTTTAATGTACATCAATTTGGGTTGATTGTCGACCATAACAGCTGGGGGGAGGGGGGATTGCAATCGGGTGGGGGTCGGGCTGGAAAATGTTTATCCAAAAAATTTTATTACACATTATGAGGGCTAGTAGAAGCTTGTTCCTTGATTTATGGGCCACCGTAGCTACCTATGCCACTACTTAAGTAGCATGGACATGGCGAGATACTATAAGATAACAACTATAAGATACAGAACGATTACATGTTTGCATCACATGACTAACTACTGTTTACAGAAAGCATCACCTGCTGCGAACAAACATCTTCAAAATGCCGCCGAAAGGACATTGGGTGCCCCTAAGTTTGCGGTCTTAATTCAGTTTAGTGGCCTGCCCTCGATTTTGTTTCGCTGCTTTTTAGCGCTAAATTAGATGTAAGCCGATGCTCATGGCCCAAAGCGGTAGAAAGGCCAAGAACGTGGCTAAACACCCAGCTTGCGGTGGCCTTTGCTCATTCGCTTGGGCATCTAAAACAAATTATCGAATTAGTTTGTTTTTGTGTGCGGCCAGTTTTTATTGGCTGTTTTAGTAGCGCTGCACTTGGCCAGGGAAATTGATTTCCCTGTTCAAAGAACTGGCCAAAACAAGATAATTCCGGACAGTAAATTAAGTTTGCTCGCAGAGAGCTGCGGGCAGTCCCCCTAATTGGCAAAGGCATTTCCCCTATTAAAAGCGGAATTCCCGCGGCACGACTTATCTAATCGCTGATTTAAGCGATACAATCGCCAAGTGTTTTCGGTCATCCAGGAATTCCCCATCGAATTGGTCATGTTTTTTGGTTAGAGGCCTTCGCTTGATCCCGATTAAAGTAGCAAGGGTTAGGCGCACTTTATTTAAATTTCAAGGTGCTTGGCTAAAGTTAAAGTGCCTTTGGCCACAATCGGCGTCACCAGCGTGACTTGCATAACCTTTTGGCAAATCATAATAATTGTGGTAAGCGTTGCCGAGTGCAATCAATCATTGGGGGCATAGATGGCGTCCAGGGTCCAGTCAGATTGATTGCCCATTGGATTGGGATTGCGATTGCGATTGGGATTCGGATTCGGATTCGAATTGGCAATGGGGAATGGAAATGGAGTCGCTGTTGACGGATATCATCTCACAGCCGGCATCGAACTGTTGACTCAGAGCGGCCACACACACATTCGAAATGTGTTTTTTCAGGGGAATAAGTTTTCACGTGTCGCCGTATCCTTTTGACTCATCCTTTTCCTGCCGACTCCATTTTGCTTTTTCTGCCGCCGTCTTCTGTCTTCTGAATAAACATTATGGCCGTGTTGCTGGCTGACCAGCGAGCAGATTTCTTTTGTCACGACTCAGGAATCCACGGACAAGCATATACCTTTCGTGGACCAGCTGGAAGAGCTCCTGCTGGAAGTAGCCGTGCTCCAGGAGGCGCGCATCCTTGTGGCCACGCCGCCGTATTTGCTTATCCCTCAGTCGGAACTCGCGCCACAGCATCTGCATGTGCAGCCATTTTTTGGTAATGAAGTGCAGCGTCTTCCGCTCGGATGGCGTTTTCTTGTAGTTCGAGATCGCCTGGAAGAGGAAATTCGCGCTGATTTGCTGCTGCAGCGCCAACTGGTCCAGCGCCAGGATATTGCCCTCGTCCTTGTGACCCTCCATCAGCGAATAGCTCAGCTTTAGTGCGACAATGTTCGGCATTTTTGCGCAATTACTATGATTTATTCGCTGGCCACGCCTTGTTCAATGACTTTAATTAATACTATTAGGGAGCACCTTTCGGGGAAACTCTGCACAGTGCCTGTGGGTTCGGGAGAATCTCTGCCACTAAATATTGGGCAGCGAGTGCCGTGCTTTTATAGCGATTCCAATTCGACTTTGATAAACCCATGGACATACGAATAATATGTCGAAATGTGCGGTTTATTTTGTGGGTTATTTTGGAGAGCCTGATAAAAGACAATGAAGGAATGCACGTGCTTGGGAAAAAGTGAAAGTTTTAGGGAAGTTATAGACTACTTCCGAGCTTTTGAATATAATTTAACGAAATGTGAAGGGATGCTTATAACAGTTTTGCACATCATTTGATGGCAATACTCTATAGCTTTTCAGTACCCTAGGGAATGCTACTGCTCTCGAAACTGAAAAGCCTGGCCAAGTACCCTACCCTGGTCTAAACCGTCCTTTTTTGAATGTCACGTTCGGTGCGTGGGGGCGGGGGTGGGGGCGGGGGCGTCAGATAAAGCCAAAACGCCAGTTATCAAATCACGCTCACGGATCCAACGGCTGATTCATGGGCCGGTCGAATGTGCGCAATGCGCTATCGGGGAATTATTGGCCGATAAGCCTGATAAGCCCCAGTCCGCACGCACTCTGCCACCATAAAGTGGCAACAACAGGGATACGGCCCGTCCTGACACATTAGCCTACTCAACAAAATCGTTAGCCCAAAGTCAATGAACACAATCGTGGAGCGTTACTCTGGGCAACAAAATTTTATCGCCCCCCAGTGGGTGGGGATTCCACTAGTGCTACAAGTTGAAGGGGGTGTGGGGCATAAAGAGTGGCCATGTTTGTCGTCAAGTGTCGCAGACTCATCGCTGATAATTGTTGCGATTATCCACGCCCATGCCATCATGGCCTCGACGACATCATTGTCACGGAACGCCCAGCTCCACTTCGAATTGGGTGTGAGTCAGATGGGGCGAATCCATTCGACCTATTCGTTACACTCATGATTTAATTATGTTCCCGCTGCGATTGTCGAGTGCGGATCAAATCGCGTAGGTGGATGGAGTCAAAAATGATTGGGAAGCAGGCACCTCCGTTTTTTAGTTCAAACGATGGAAGGAAAGTGCTCTTATATTGCCACCATTTCAAGCTTTTTCCTCCCCAGCATACTCGTACTATAATTAAATCATAACTTTTGAAATATATCAGGGAGTCTAAATAATATAAAACAGATTACTTTTGCATAGAATTTAATTTCAATGCCGGTTTTAAACGATTTAAATCAAATGAGCTGCCAATTACGAGCTTATGCCATTAGCTTTTCGAGTTGTTAGTTGCTCATATTTATTCGTAATCTGATTTTATGGGGAACTTAAATGTGATGTTTGCACCGCTGTTTAATACCAAATGAGCTGTCAATTACGATTATTACTAAAAGCGAATTTCACTGCACGTATTCATTTACTACATTTTGTTTTTAATTTTTAATAACAAATATATAGGTAATTTGCTTTTTTGTAGCTATATTGGTTTTCGTGAATTAATTACCGAATAAAATGTAATATAAGCGTTATTCGCTTTCAATGAACAAACAAAAATGCAGAAATTGTGGAAGTCAATTAAATGTGTGGTTTTAAGTCCAAAAAATATTTCCAAGTTTGAGTTATTTTATGACTTTAGTCGAAATTGAATGGTTAGTACTTTTAAATTGCCTTATAAACTCATTCAAATACAATTATGTGCTCGTAAAAACGTTCAGCTATAAGGAGATTAAACAAAAAATAAATACCAGTTAATTATTATACCAAAGAGGAGAAGAATGTCGGTTCTGCGTCGGAGTGCGTTCTTTAATTAATTAAAATGCTTTTCCTACAAATGCACTCCTGGTCTGACCCTGAATATTTTTCATCAGAAACAGGTTCAGGAACATTATAAATAATAGCTGAAAACTCAGTAGAGCAAGTGTTGAATTCAACACATCTATAAGGTCACTCGACATTATTTGTGGAGGCTACAAAAGTTATAAAGCACTTGTCGCTTTATATACAGGTTACTAACTCTTGCTAATCAACGAGATTTGTAAATTTGTAAATTTGTGTTGCGACACAAGGGCGCCAAACACTTGAGATTGAGGCATCTGGATTTCATTCAGTGCCACTAACTGAGATTGAGGCATCTGGATTTCATTCAGTTCCACTAACTGGACACCTGGACACCTGGGTGCTCATCGCAGTCACTTTTGCATCCACATTGATCTTCATGACTGGGTCTCACTTAAAAGGGGTCTTCATACAAAGGGGTCTCACTTAAATAATCGCAAAACCTCGTGTGGGGCCTGGTCAATTGAAGGCCCAGTAACCAATTAGAGTCGATTAACTATTTGAGTTTATGCCGCCACCGAGTTTAGGTTCAGCCTTTAAGTAGGATGCAGCTACATTATTTATTCTGCTACAAGCAGCTGTGAACGTAATAATAATACTAGGATAGTCTACAAATTAGTAGAAAAATCTAAAAGCCATGTTGCAAAACTGTTCGTGAGGCAAGGAAATATTAATATTCATTCGAAAGAAATGGTATCATTATAATCATATTGTGCATGCATGAACCTCAGACTCTACTTAACCGTAGTTTAAGGCCCTAATATAAATTGCACACTCAAAAAGGAATGTAATGCAGCATACACTCAAAATGCTCAGTTAATTTGTGGTTATAGGGTGCGAGGTTAGAATTTTTCGTAATCTCGTCTGTCGAGAATACTGCATGTCAGTGCCTCAGAGTGTGCGAACCTGTCAGATTGCGAAGTGCAGACGATCTTTGGGATGCGCGCTCTACGGATAAGTTGTCTGGTACTAGCCCTGCCAGCCTATCTGCAGGCTGCCAGGATACTGGCCATATTTCCGTCTCCGGGGCCATCGCAGTATATTAGTGTGGAGCCCTATCTAAAGGGACTGGCTGGTCGGGGTCACCAGGTGACCTCGGTTAATGCGTTCCCGCAAATGAAACCAGTGGCTAATTTTCGCGATGTTTTCCTCTCGGAATTGTCGGACAATTATAATGGTAAGATGATTGAACATATACGTGTATGTTACACAATTTTACAACAACCTTTTAGAATTGATCAACGAGCTGAAAGAACCCACGAATACCTGGGAGGAGAACACCTACATTAATAAATTATTTGTGGTGGTTACGCGCAGTGTTCTTGAAAACAAAGAGGTTGCAGAAACCCTCTTGCCACCTGGAAAGGATCAGTTCGATCTTATCATTGTGGAGGCTCTACGCTCGGATGCCTACTATGGATTTGCGGTCCACTTCAATGCTCCTATAATTGGATTCTCCACCTTTGGCACTGATTGGAATATTGATGAGTTAGTGGGCAATGTATCGCCTCTATCGTATACTCCGCTGTTGTCGACGGGTTTCACGGATCGAATGACATTCCAGAAGCGGGTGTCCAACTTTATAGATACCATGATTGCCTGGCTTAACTACATATTGGTGCATATGCCAGAGCACGTACAGATGTATGAGAAACACTTTCCCGAGGCCGCAAAAAGGGTTAAGCTCACCGATTTGAATAGAAACTTCTCTCTGGTATTGCTGAATCAGCACTTTTCACTAAGCTTCCCGCGTCCCAACGTTCCCAACATGATTGAGGTTGGAGGTTTGCACATATCCCACAAGCCATCTCCTTTGCCCAAGGACTTGGAAGAGTTCATTCAGGGTTCCGGAGAGCAGGGTGTGATCTACTTTTCCCTGGGCCCTAATGTTCTGAGCAAGGAGCTACCGGTGAAGAGGAGAGATCTTATTCTAAAAACCTTCGCCAGCTTGCCGCAGCGTGTGCTCTGGAAATTCGAGGACGACAATTTGCCTGGCAAGCCGGCCAATGTTTTCATCCGCAAATGGTTTCCACAGCAGGATATCCTGGCTCATCCTAAGGTCAAGCTCTTTATCACCCACGGCGGCTTGCTGAGCACCATCGAGAGCATTCATCATGGCAAACCTGTCTTGGGTCTGCCCTTCTTCAACGGCGCACTCGCGAATGTCAACCGGGCCACGCAGGCTGGCTATGGATTGGGACTCAATCACAAGACAATGTCGCAGCGGGAATTCAAGGAGACCATCGAGCGACTGCTCCAGGAGCCGCGATTTGCCCAGACAGCCAGACAGATGTCGGAGCGATATCGGGATCAGCCAATGAGTCCACTAGCCACTGCCATTTGGTGGACGGAATACGTTCTGCGGCACAAGGGAGCTCATCACATGAGAGTGGCTGTCCAGGACTCGGGTTTCTTCGCCTACTACGACTTGGAATTCATTGGAGTCGCAACTTGGATGTCACTGGAGTCTTTGGTAAGATGTCTCCTGATTGCTCCACTCTTGGTGGCAAGCCTTTGGATGACATTTAAGTGTTCGTTCTTTGGAAATTCCAAGAAATAGCAAAGATCCCAGTGAAGGAAGGGTTTATTTGAAGCGAACAATTCCTGATATTTGTAAAGGAACATTAAAATTGTAACTAAATAAAGGAAATAAAAATATTTAATTGAATATAAATATAAATAGAATTGAAGTAAGATTATTAAAAGCCCAGCTAATCTGTGCCATTTTTTTATGGAACAAATTAGCTATATCTTATTAATTATTTCCCACACTTTTTCGGTTGCTAAAACTAAGTAAATCGAGAGGGAGTTTTCAGTCAATTATTTGACCAAAGTAGAGAAGTATGTCGATTCAGAGTGCGTTCGTTTAGCCTTTCTTTAATTAATTAAAATGTTTTTCCTATAAGTGCACTCCTGGTTTGACCCTGAAACAGAAGCAGTAACCTTAAAGATAAACATGGGGTGAATTTATAGTATTCTCTTGGTTTTGTAAAGAAAGTGCGGATTCAGCAGCCAAATGTTGAGGAGAGTAAAAAAGGTAATATTATATAATATATAAAAATAGCAGAAAGTAAATGAACTTACAAATATATCAAAAAAGATACATGATAGATGATAGATTTATAACATATAGATTCGGGAGATGTAAGCTGAAATAAATTATACTTCCGCACACTGCTATCGGGTTAATCTTAACAGTTTTTACGTTACAATGGTTTGTGGCTTAGATTGTATTTAGCCTTCGTCGAGATCTTTAGAAAAGCACCGTTCCGGTTTAAAAATGGATGGGCTCGCATTTTGGCTTTGTTTCCCATACCCTCCCACTCCTATACAAATAATTTCTGATGTGGGGACAAAGGAAATTAATGAAATAGCCAGGCTAACTTTGGAATGGAAGTGGCCTTTAAAGCGAAGCTAATTTATTTTAAATAACATTTCGGTAAGCGAAATTCTTAAAAGAGCGATATAGAATGACTTGTTGCGTTGAAAATAAACTAATTAACATATATTTTTGATCAATTTCCAAGGGGATAGAATGACTTGCACTGCAACCCATCCCAGCCAGTCGATCGCTCCATCGGAAAGTCCACATTACACACGCTTCATTCCTGTGCACATTTCATTGGTCAATTGAGTGTGAAAACCTGTGAAAACAAAAACACCACCGTGGAGGGACAGCATAAGGACCGAGTTCCTGGCCAACAAGCCATAGAAAATTACTAATGCATTTCTAAAGAGTTTTTCATCACTAAAGTCCCCGGCAGCAGCTGCTAACTGGATGTTACCTGTAACCCGACTCCGGCTGCCATTCTTTAAGGCAAATATCATTAGCATTATGATGTCACTCCGCCCACCGACCACGCCACATCCACTGCCATCCAGCTGGGGCCCATCCTCGCCCCATCATCAGCCACGTTCCATATGCACACCGCTCCTTCACCGCTCCTCACCCTGCGGACATACGAGTATGTGGCATGTTTGGGGTAATCCGACCTTCGCATATCCTCTTCAGGACGATCTGGAACTGTTGGAACCGAAGTTTCTTGGGTATCGTTCCATCATGGTTGTAGGATAACTATACTCCAAGTAGTCCAGTATATCTATACATTGAATTTTAATGCAGATAAGGATCTACACCAGGCTGGGGAAGAGTGGCGTGCAATTAATGTGCTCGGTGATAACCCAAGGAATGCAAATCATACTCAGAAGTTTTTGAAGCCGCAAAGTTGGTGCGGCATGTTCACTCCCAGCCTTCCAGCAAAGATGGGTAGCGCGGGCAACAACAAAGCGAACTACAACGTGGACAGGAAGCAACGCACGCTGAGTGAGAAAAATCATGTGCGCAAATACAGAGCAGATTGCAAAATCTATTGCCCGCTTGTAGGCGCAAATGTTCACTACGCGCTGCACGGCACAGTGGGTCAAAAGCGCTGTGCACTGTCCCAATTCCCTTCGCTTCAGTAGCAGATGTATGGACTAATCCTTGGATTTGGTGGCATTTCAGCAAGCTGCCTAAGTAGCAAACTTACCATGCCTTCAAGAAGATATATCTCGGGCACTAAATACATGTTCCCATGCGGTTTTAGCCATGTTTGATGCTCTGTGCACTGGAAGCTCGGTCGAAAGTGTGCGTTGTGTGCTTGTGTCAGTTGGTTGCCTGTGTAAGTGTTGCAATCGAGTTTGCGTAGTGCAACTTTTTGCCTTTCCGTATTACTTGAAAAGCAGGCGATGCGAGCGATAAATATATACAACATATTTCCATTTGCGGGATTGCATAAGCTGAGGCCACCTGGCCATATTTCAGTGGTGCTTGTGGTGGTGTTAGTGGCTGTGCTGGCTTAAGCCACACGCATGAAAAACTCAGCAAGGCCTGGGTATTATTTTATTCAATTTTTGTCAATTTGTTGCCAGGATACTGGCTGAGACGGGGTGGGCAGCTTGAGTGCAAGTAAACCATTCAATCAGCAAGATTTTTACCTGCTCCTCATCCCCATCCCCATCCCCACCTGTTCAGGATCCCGATGGCTCGGTAAAAATGCTCTGCATACATTTAGGCGCCCAGCACTGTAGGCTTTGCACCGGGCCCGAAAGACACACAGTCTGGCAATGAAAATTGTTATGAAATTCTCAGCTCACTGCAGTTTTTCTGCCTATCTCAGTCTGTGTAAAGTGGCCTGGTTGTTTGACAAGTTGCTGGAGTTGTTGGTCGTGTTTTTGATGCTGTTTTATTGTTGTTGCCACCCGATTGTGCTCTGGTTTAAGCCATTGATTGCATTGAGCTCGGGCTCCTTGATTTTTGACTTTTCCCCCCGACCAGCAGCAGCAGGGGAAGCTGAAGTTTTTATGTTTTTTTTGGAAATTAAACTCCACTCCGACTCTGTGTCCTTTTTGGCTTGTGCCTGCGCAGATGAGGACATAATCTGACTGATGTTGACTGAATGGATAGGCATTTTGTAGGCCTCTGCATTATCCGGCATCCGGAATCCGGATGCACAAGACAGGACAAGTGTACTTTGTCTGCTCTAAAACGAAAGTCGAGCGCTTACTGCACAAATATCCTGCAAAGTCAACTTAACCTCGATATGTCTGAGCTCAATATCTCCGTTTTAAGCACTTGTAATTGGCATTTCAACAGACGAACTTCCAACTTCCAGCATCCAAGTTAATGCAGAATTGAAAGCTAATACACCCGTTGGATCATTACACTGAATTCATAAGAACTCCGAGTTTGCAAACCATTCATTGCTCCTAAAACTTCCAGAGAACACACATTTTTTTAAATACATCGAATTTTGTAGCCCCCAAAGCTTGTGCATTTCGCCCATTAACACCTGTACAGCACATGCAAAACATTATTACCACCCGCGGCGAAGGTGAACTATTTTATTTATTTTCCCCTCAGATGCTTTGTTTCGAAAAGGGCGTTATTTTAATCAACGCTAACGCTTAGGCGAACTCTCTCGTTCAGCACACACCTGCTCCAGCTGCGACCTTTGCCCTTCCTGCTGCAATTGCCGCTGCCCGGGGCACGAACCGGAGGGGGCTGCGAATCGGAGGGGGGTGCGTTACATAGTTTGCAAATAAATTAGAATTTGCTACAGCCAGCGGCAAGGAAATTAGAAACCGCTTGAACTACACGAGGCGAAATGTGCGTGTTATAACTGCCAAGCACACAGATACACAGATACACAGATACACGGTTGCTCGGGTACACAGATGCACGGATACACGGATACACGGACACACAGCTACACAGATACAAACACGCACACGTGAGTACACAGCCAAAAATGAATCTAACTGCCGCCGGCTAAATGTGCGTGCAAAAGTAAACATGAAGGGAAGGCCGGCGGGCGGTAAGTGGGCGTGGAAATGGGCGGGATTGGGGCACTAAAACAACAGACACGCCCCGAGATGAAAGTCGAACGCCAGGATACAAAACAGGATACAAAGGAGAAGCCGCAAGTGTACATATTTCTTGATTGTAAGTCCGACTGCAAGTTCCTAACTACCCGGGAGTACCCTGGATTAGGTAGCCGACCTAAAACTATAATTATAACTAAACTTATTTATTTTATTTTACATCACTTTCTAATTCTCTTAAGCAGATATGATAAAGTTTTCACCAAGTAATTTGTTAAATTGGAAAATGACTCCATGAACTTTGAACCTCTATTTATCCGACGTTCGTATTTCTATATCCTTCGAAGCGTTCCCTTTCCTTTTTGAGATACCAATCCTGGTAACGCCTCAAGAACTGCACACCACGGACGAGGTACCTTTGCAGCCTGATAAGCCCGCTCTTCCCCCGCCGCCCAACCGAAAACACCTTTAGCCGCTTTCCAGAGCCAGTCAACGCCTCTGCGGCCCTTTGCTTCCAGGAGCCCGCTCCTCAGCCCACCAGTCCACCAGCTCACCAGTCCACCACATGCATTTCAATTAACGGCCACCGAGAGCACTCCACGGGCAAAAACACGTGCTCGCAGCGCCCTGGCCACGCCCCACGACAGCCTCGGAGGCGGAGGAGGCGGAGGAGGAGGGGCCGCCCATGGAAGGTGGTTCCTGGCCACATATCCTCATTGTTTATGCTGCGGAGACTGCACTTTATCAAAGCGCCGGGCCGGCCGAAGCTAAAAACAAACTGTGGTCGCGCGCGCCATTTTGACTCACTAGTCGCCAACTTTTCTGATACCCTGGAACGGGGCTGCCTGATAGGCTAAGACGCTCTTTGATTTTTATATATTTTTGGAAGTATTATTGTGCTAATGCTTTCCAGCTTACTAACTACACATTGCTTCCTTAAGTATGGAAAATGTGTATATTGACAATTAGAAATCCGCGTGCATCACTGTTGTTTTTGATTGCAGTTGAGTCGAGGACATGGCACTTCGAGGAACTCCCCGCCAAGGGAGCTGGGCTGCCTGAGTGGCTGCACTTCCTGTCCTGGAAGAAAGCTCTTCAACTGCCAAGCGCACGCACTTCCGATTCTAGTTTTCAGCCACCTGGAAGCCACCTGCCACAACTCGGTCAACGCACCGAGCTCCCATCGCCGAAGGCTGT